ATCAAACTTATATCTTAAAATCACAGAGAATAGAGTAGGAAACCGCTGAAGATGTTCCGTGAGTTAGGATCATCATAAAGCCCAGAGTCTGCGTGAAGACGCATATGGACCACACTTCCCTGTTCCAGGTGGAGAATTAATGCATTTGAAAAGAAATTATTACCGGTAGCTCACTCAGAATTATGCAAAATCCTCTGACTATCCTATAGTCACTATCTTTATCACTATTTTTTTTTTCACTATCCTTTAACAGTTGCTGTGAAGATACCTGCAACAGAAAAGAAACAGAGATCTCAACTCTGTCCATCTCCCAGTTAATGTTATGATGCCTGTGGTAATGCGTACACTACTTGTAACTGGGTTATAAGCCCCGCCAATATTTGTGATTTCTCTACTGTAGACGAGTGGAGTTTCAGTATTGAAACCTTTCCTGAAACACCCAAACCAGCAGAGAACACAATCTTCATAGGTTCTGTAAACACAGGATGGAAACCAGATTCCTTTTTAAAAATTGAAACAATAGGTTTGTTTCAAGGGAAAGCCATGTCCACAGTTCTGTATTTTTATTTAGAGCAGGATTCTCTCTAGTTGAAATATGTATGGGAATGTGGTCTCAAAATTTTGGACCCCACTGTATGTATTTCTGATTGGTCATCAAAATACTTGCAGTTGTCTTCTGGATCTCATCCAATTTGTTCTTGGTCAGCTGTAGTTCAGTCTTAGAAACATGCAGCTCTTCCCTTTGACTCGTCACTTCCTTCTACTGCTCCTGTGCCTCCTTCTCATTGGATGTCACTCTGGAAAACAGGGCTATGAGTTCTGCTGCTTGGACTGCACAAGCATGAAAGCCAATAATTGACTGAATAACTGCTCTTTCAAGATTTGTTAAAATTACAGTCTGTGATTTTAGTTTTTACATATTATTAATTAGTCTCTCAGCCTCCTCCACTTTTGTCTCTTGGAGATGCAGTTCAGTCTTAGTCGCTTCCAGCTCTACTGTAATTGCTGTCACCTTGTTTTCAGTTACTGTCAGTCTGGAGCTTATCACTGAAACATCATAGAGGCTTGAGGATGAAGTTCTTTGAAATAAAACTGTCTAAAGTAGTATTCCACAACATCTTTATACAAATACATTTCTGACTTGTTATTATGTTATTGTTCCTGTTGATTTGACACTATATTCAACAAATAATCATTCCATGAAAATCTTTTGATCAAATTTTCCATTCTCTTTGTGGCATTGTAGGTTGGGTTTTGATTTTTCTTTTTTTCTAGGGAATTTGTAAGTGATGGGTTGTAACAGGTTTACAGCTATTGTAAAACATATAGACACTCTTATTGTTAGTGTATTGTTTTGGATCTTTGGATTTTGAATTTGCAATAATTAATACTTCTTTTTTTTCCTTTGAGTGGTGATTTTTTGTTTACTGGATTGTAATTAAATAGCTGCTATACAGTATCAAATGTGTTTGATGATTACTCAGCTCCTCAGCAATTTTTACATATAAATAATTAAGTTTTGAGTTAACCTTCTGTTTAAATACATTCTCACAAGTAACAGCTATATTAACATTATATGGGTTTAGACTAATCTAGAGCTGAAACAATTAGTCAGTTTAATTGAAAAGTCCATCAACAGAAAATCAATCTGCAACAATTCTACTAATCATTTAAATAATGCCAAAAATAAAAATGGCAAAATTTACTGAAAATAAATGGCAGATGAGTTGCTCCCTATGCATCTGTATAACCTAAGACTTGTTGATTTACTACCTGCGTTCTCTTTCTCAAGACCAGCCACTTTATCTTTCTGGGTTTGTAGTTCAGCCTTGGTATTCCTGAGTTCCACCCTCTGCTCCACCACCATGTCTCTCAGAGCTCTCAGCTCGTCCCAGATATCACCGCAAGTCTGGCCACTCGTCTCTAAACTTTGGTCAGCGCCTCCACTCTCTGCTTGGGCCGATGCCCCAGACAGACAGAACAGCGATACCAGCAGCACAGAACCCCTCATTGTAAAACTTCACCCCTCCAGAAATTCCTTTTCGGGAATGTATTTTTTAACATGAACTCCCATTGACCACAGGTGTTGCGAGCATGATTGGCCAAAGATAACTTTTATTATTCGTCCTGTGCAGAGTTGGCAGAAGGAGGCTGTCCCTGACCATATTTAGGAAGGTAGACTGATGCAATAACCACAGCTGTTTTCAAAATGACCATTCTCATAACATCATTGTTTATCGTGTTTATGCAGATGGTATCATGTTTACGCAGCTGGTCAGTGGCTGTATACTCAATTTTAAGATGTTCATATTATCTGCATTAAGAAAAAAGCTGGGGTTTTTATTTTTGGTTGTTTTAAAAAAAAAAAAACCCTTGGATGAAGTTGAGAACAAAATACTTTATGGAAGATTTGTGTAAAAGTTGTTTTTGTTTACAGAAAGGGACGAGTTAGAAGTGCCAAAATGTCATGTGAATATGTGGGTCAAATGTCATTCTAAAATTCAGAAATGATATAATTAGGTCCATATTTCATTATTTATTATATAAAATCATCTGCAACTTTTCAGTTGTTTTAATGGGTTATTTGTCAGTTGGGAAGACATTCTTGCCACAGTTTGGTGACTTTTTCCAAATATTCAAAATGAGGGCTTGAGATCATGCAAGTGCGGTTTCTTAATTTGTAATTCACTCAAAACAAAAGCAGAGCAAAGTGGCTGGTCAGCCCGTCACCTTGTTATCAGGCTCCTCCATATGAATGACAATCCCAAAGCAAGCCATGAAACGGCCTTATCTCGTCTAATCTGAACAATTCTCTTCCTCCTTCTTCTACTCTCCTTCATTATCTGTGCTCTTTTTATCTGTGGCAGACAGCTGGCATGTGCGTGGTTTGAGCATGTGTGTTTGGGGTGTGTTACAGAAAAAGAGAGAGAGACTGCACCACATATTTGTTTGTGTGTTTCAGCAGGTGCTTGTGTCTGTTTGTGTGTGTGTGTGTGTGTGTTTGTGTGTGTGTGCCGCAATGAGTGTGAAGATTCAATAACACTGCTATCACTGATAAGCTCATCATTCAAAGCTATTGCAGGTGATGTAAAACAGATGAGGGGACACAAGGTTACACAGTATCTATTTTCCATTACATTCAAGAGGTTATAGAGAAGGACGGGGTGGTGCAGAAAGCTTGGTGGTGATTACATCAAACCAGTGTATAGTCAGAAATGTGATTGTCAGTGAAGGAGCACATCAAGGTCACTTTCTACCAGAACTGTTTTTTTGTTGTCATCAAGACAAAGCAGACACATCCCCTTATTTTCTGTCTTTATTACTTCATCAGTTCATGACCTCTCAAGTACACCTAAAATGTGATGTTAAACAGTATCATTGTATTTTACTCTCTGACAGAGAGTAAAAGAGAGTGTAGCCCTGAACAAGGCCACAGTGGTCACACCACTCAGTGGGGGGCCATCTTGGTTCTTGGTTTCTTTGCTCACTGCCATGATCTCACTCACACACTCTCTCACACACAAACACACACACACGTGGTCACCCTGCTGATAGAGATTAATTAGTGGAGACTCCCTGCTAACATGAAAGCCAGGGTCTTCAAGTGTATTCTGGGAGGACGTAAACAACGTAAAAGTGTGCCCCATAGACGTTGAATACACACATGGGTCAAATGTATTAACGCACGCAGAATGCTAAGGAACATATGTATTGACTTGCGTGCAGATGCATAATTACATCATACTCTGCCGAGACCGATTTGCACGTGACCGTGCCTTGAACTTCACTACAGTGTCCACACTTTCGATGTATTACAGTCAGTGAAGCAGCAAGCTGAGCTGAATTGAAAAAGACAGTCACTGCAGCAGATGGCCACAAGAGGAGAGGGGTATACAGATAGAAAAAAAAAGGGGAAAAGTGAAATTCAGGAATACAGAAAAGGAAATAAAGACAGAGAAGATGAAAGAAAGAATCAGGGACAGAGAGTGAGGCAGGAAGGGAAGGATGAATAGAGATTGGTGTCAGTAAGAGGTGATGTATTGAGGAGAGGGTGATGAGAGTGAGCTGGCTTCTCTCTCGGCTCCTGTAGTAATGTCCCTTTCCAAAACATCACTCATATTTAATGGAGCACAGCTACAAGGGAAGAGAGAGAAAAGAAGAACACAAAACTCGCATGCACGAACACACACACACACAAACGCACACACACCACACTACATATGCAGACATCACACCACATTTCAGACTTGTACACGCTTGCATAGAGTGCTCAAAGCTTGCATGCACACATACTGTAGAGAACTCACACACATGCACTCTGGTACTCAGACGCAAAGAGGGCTCTCTGAGAGTTAATGGAGTTGAGACAAAGGGGCCCTGAGACTGAAAGCTGCACTCTGCTAAAACAGGGGGAAAGAGAGAAAGAAGGAGTGAGAGAACAGAATAAAAGAGGAGAGGAATCAGGGAGCATTGGTATACATTCGAGAATATGTGAAGTATGTAAGAAAAAATGATGTACAGGTGCGTAGATGATCCTTAGTTAATATCACCTCTGTCTGAAGCCATATTTGCCAGGTAGCTGAGATTGAAGCATAAGAGAGGTAAAAAAAAACACAGCAGTGCAATCACTGTAGAAAAAAAACAGCTTTATTGCAAAATAGAAGGTAAACAGACAGAAATCCTAGTCAGATTTAATGATGTTCTATATTCTTCTGTAACAAAACAGTCAAAGACGCCAGTGCTGAACTTTTTGTTAAGGCACAAATTACGTCACATATTTTCATCATTGTAAAGTTCACAAATAAATAAAAGAATGTGGTGCTGTATTTTTAATGGACGTGGCTCGAGCGAGTCAGTTCAAATTATTGGAGAATCTTTCAAGAAATCTTGCACTAACTAAGGATTTGCACTTCAACAACATGATGTTTTTGATTTACACTTGTGCAAAGACATTTGTGCAGTGTGTGTCTTCTGAAGACATTTTTATCCTCACTCTCCAGGTTCAGGCCTTAACGACGGACAATGGCATGCAATACGTTTGGTCGCCAAGGAGAACTTTGCCATGTTGACGTTAGATGGCGACGAGGCGTCCGCTGTGCGCTCCACCTCACCTCTCACCATCACCACAGGAGGAACCTATCACTTGGGAGGTAAGGGCCGCACCAGCACCATCACCATTACCATCACCATCACCATCACCATCACCATCACCACAGATCTGACAAGAACACCACACCCCTCACTTCCTCCCATCAGCCTATCACATTGCTATCCTTTGCCCGTGTGGGAGGCCAGGCATTATAATATACTGTGAAATATGCACTATACTGTATGTAAGTAGGTACTGTAAGGAGTCGGTCTGGATTACTTGGTCTTTTTGATGAATTCCATGAAATATTGTACTGCATCTTAAATTTTATCTTACTGTGTTTTTGGGTTTATACCTCTTATACCTAAATATATATACCTCAAAATACATGTTAATTAATTTGCTTGTATTTTAATTAGTGTATAGAATATATTGTCAGTATTGTTAAACTGATAGAACATTTTGTAAAAAAAGAAAAAAATTGTTAGTCGACAGTGAAACAGAGCTCAGTGAAACTTCTGATATGAACTATGCCAACAGTGTGTGTGTGTGTCTGTGTGTGTGTAGGCTAAGTATGTCTACAAATCATTTATCTCACTAGAAATCTATATCCCAGTGGCCAGAGTTTAGGAAGTTGCTCACTTAGCAAGAGGGCAGACACAACTAGACCACCAGATATACACAACCACATGAGGGAAAGACATACTTACACACACACACACACACACACACACACACACATACACACGTATACACATGCAGCAGCCACAATCTGTCTGAATTAGGAAGACGCCAGGTTAATGACGCTAGACACTGCTGTCTGTCTGTTGGAAGATGGTCCGTATCTAAGTGTGCATGTCTGACTTTGTGTGTGTGTGTGTGTGTGTGTGTGTGTGCGTGTGTGTGTGTGTGTGTGAGTGTGGTTTTGTTGGGTGTGTGGGCACCTATGAAATTACAGTAACTGAGAGAAACAGTCTGGGCTTTTATAGCTCCATCAGGCCTCTCTCTCTCTCTCTCTCTCTCTCTCTCTCTCTCTCTCACTATCCAAGCTCAGTCTCCTCCATCAAGCAAAACCATTTCCCCAGACCAGTCAATAAAGATCAGAGCACCTCACAGACCCACACACACACACACACACACACACACACATCCAGATTGTTTTATTTTATTGTCCATCTTAATTTACTCTTCGCTGATGTTGAGTGAATCTCCCTTAAGCCCATGATGACGCTGTACTTTTTATTTATGAAATCAAAGTTTCTGAGGCCTTGATAGGTTAGTGGAAAAGTATTCAAAAGCTGTTACAAGGATTATTTTCAGGTTTTTGAAAAGCATTTTAAATCTGGGATGATGCAGAATTCAATGTGCTAATGCTTTATCTTTTATTATTTCTCATCTCTCTTTAACCCCAACTTTCTTCTTTGGCTTTCCTATTTTTGGTTTCTCTCCCCTTTCTTCTCCTGTCCTCTCCTCCTTCTCACCCTCTAGTCTCTGTTTTGATCCAATTGGTGATTTATTGATTTTGGTAAGCTGAGTTGAGAATCAATATTGGCTGAGAGGAGAGAATCTCTAATGTCTTTAACCCTTGAAGAGGGTAAAGGAGGCCGATAGAAAAGGGAAGAGTGAAATAGAGGCAAAGACAGATAAGAGATGGTGAAGAAGAGAAAGCAGAAATGATGAATGACATGAAAAGAAACAAAGATTTTGGCAAGGAAATAAAAACAATAGCAGGCTAATGAGTGATACCAAGGCTTGAGAGAGGAAAGGAAGCCAAAGCTTGAGGAGCTGAGAAGCTGAGAGGAAGGGTGACAATAAGACGTACACTCACAGAGGCAGTACCTGTATATAACAAGAGGGAATACAGGGCTCCTAACACACACAAGTCACATATTTTTTATGTACAGCGTGTGTGCTATATGCACAATTTTTGTGTCTGCTTGTGTGTAGCGGCGTACACTTGTTTTGCGTGTATACTCCCTCGCACATAAACAGTCACATATACATGCATCTCTGCAACTCAGAGAAATACAACTATGTTCTTTCAGAAGGTTCTTCCGTATTGACGTGATGTGTGGGCTGCATTGGCAGCGACTGTGACTGGGGTTTTTACTTGTTAATTTTACATGACATAATCAATGCTGAGGAGCAGGGAGCCTGCTGGTAAACACAAGTGCGACGGCTGCAGGGGATACAAAACTGCTGATTATCACCATGGCAAGGAGTATCAAGTGGCTACCGCTCACAGGCTAGGGAAGAAGTTGTATGAAAACATATTTGAAATTATTTTAAACCAGTGCACTCTTGGTTCAGACTCGAGATTTATTTAATGGGAGAGGTACAATATATTCGGGATCTTTTCAGCTCTAATAGGTTGTGTCTGACAACTGGACTTGGTTTTGCTTTTTTATTTGAGTGGAAAGAAGATTCATACAGCATCCTGCAATTTCAGGACCTGGATTTTTTATTCATTTTTTTTTATTTATTTTCAGTGCCTTGCCTCCTCATTATCATAGATTTACAACAAAGGCCTCAAGACATCTGAATCTCTGTGTGTATGTGATTTAGTGTAAGTTTTCATGTCTGTGTGTCTTGTATGAACAGGGTCTGTAGGTTTTAATTTGTTGTATCCCAAGCACGCACACACACACACACACACACACACACACACACAGATACACACATCAGACAGAATATCTAGAACATTTATTCAAAACACTCCACCTCGTCGCATTCAGAGGCTAATTTCCATCCCAGCACAGAGGTAACTGAATAATATTGTGAGTGTACAAAAGGTAGTTTAGCCTTTGGTTTGCCCTCAATTACTCTCTCTGATTCACTCAGCTTGGTGAGTCAGAGAGGCCAAGCACATTAAGCTGTCCTAAAGCTTTCTAACAGTATCCCATCAGCACTTTCTGTGTGACCGAGACTGTTCTGTCACTGTGCCACAATTAGCAGAAATCCCTCGGTATCATGAAAAATCCATGTTCTTTTATATACATGACGAGGATTCACATAATTGCCGAGAGTAAATCTTGTAGGTTCAGTCATCCAGGTAGCCATCTGCTTCAAATATCATGGCTTTAAGGCATCAATCTGGTGTTTTTATTGGCAACAGTTCTTGATCAGTGACCACAGACTGGACGGGAGTAAACAGATGCAGCTCTACATATACTCATTTTGACAATACAGCAGGAATATGTCTTCTTTTAGACTGTGGTGCATGTAGTGAACATATTGTAGTGTTTGCTCTACATGAAAAATTTATCTGGGAGCAGGGAAGTTCTCGGGTTTCACTCTGTCTCATTCCATGTTCTTCATTTTTAGTTTTTTTTTCTCCCTCTGTGGCTTAGTGTTTATTAAGCATGGCCAATTGCCACATTAAACTAAATTTGGACTAATTAGTATCATAGTGAAGCTTGACTGCCACACATGCAGGGGTATACATACCATCTGACTTACACAAACTCTGAATCACAGTGTTTTGCTTGAAACTTAAAGTATAATTTGATCAGAGTGAGAAAGGTTTGGTCCATCCATGTAAAGGGTAATAGGGTGTATATAATAGCTAATAGGCTATTAAGGTATTTGGCTCCTATACATAAACACAAAGGTTGTTGACGCGGAGGCATTATGTGAGATAATTATCTGTCTGTGTTTAATCAAACAGAAAGTGAGTGAGTGTACATGAATGTGGGTAGCGCGGCAGTGATCTTACCTTTTAAAGGTGAGAGAATATCACTAGCGGGACATGATTACTTTTATTGTTCTTCAGGCCAACTACTTTGTCTCCATTAAATGTGAAACAAGGAAAACAATTAGCCAGAGGCTGGTAATGGTCTCTCACTGCCAGGCTCAAAAAGTAAAATCAAAGGCAAGAAAGCTACTGTTTGTTTGTCTGAATTGAGACATTTTTGCAACGAAAACGTGACACGTGACGGATTTTATGAAATACTTTAATGAATAAATACTCTTTTTAATTAAGGAAAACTTTTTTTTTTAAACATAACAGAGCCCTTAATGCTTTTAGATAGAATTAATATTAATACCATTGATGTGTAATATGAAGACAAGCATGTTGACATTAAAAAATGTGCTAATGAATGCTTTAATTAACTTACTAAATTACCTAATTTGCATAAGTGGTTATGTTTAATGTATTTTGATGACAATGATGGGACAATATGCAACTCAAGCACCATTTCCAAATAGTTTAAAGGCTATGCAAATTATACAGCTAATACATTTTCTTTTCTTTCATTTTCTTCCTTATTTCTGATGCAGTAACATTTAACTGAGACACATGTCATTGCTCAGGGGCGGCACGGTGATGCAGTGGTTAGCGCTGGCGCCTCACAGCAAGAAGGTTCCGGGTTCGAGTCCCGGCTCGGTCGCGGGGTCTTTCTGTGTGGAGTTTGCATGTTCTCCCCGTGCTTGTGTGGGTTCTCTCCGGGTACTCCGGCTTCCTCCCACAGTCCAAAGACATGCAAATGGGGACTAGGCTGATTGGTTACTCCAAATTGACCATAGGTATGAATGTGAGAGTGGATGGTTGTTTGTCTCTGTGTGCCCTGCGATGGACTGGCGACCTGTCCAGGGTGTACCCCGCCTCTCGCCCGAAAGGATGCTGGGATAGGCTCCAGCCCCCCCGCGGCCCTACTAGAGGATAAGGCATAGAAAATGAATGAATGAACATGTCATTGCTCTTGTTTTTCATACACTGGACTGAACTTATTCCGTTGAAGAACTGTTTTTTTTTTTTTTTTTTTTTTTTTTTACCTTAGCAGTACTGAAGTGACGAGAGATAGGTGAGTTAAGAATGTTGCTTTAGATATAACTGCCCTAGCTTTTCTGTTTCTGTGGCATTAAAATTCATGTGGCACTGCCTAAACCCAAGGTTACAGAGTTACAGGATATTAGACTTTATACTTCAGCGGAAGGAAAAGACTAGGCTTTGAGCTTCTGTCATCGCCCTCGACTCTCGCCTCTTCCTTAATTCTGTTCCCTGTTTTCTTTTCTCCAGTTTTCCTCCTACCCTCATTTTTTTCATTCTCTCCAATTCCTCAGTTTATTTTCTGTTCTGCTTTTTTTGGCCCTCATCCTCTCGCCTCTCCTCTCATCCCTCTTATCCTCTTTAACCGAGTCGACCCCTTCCTATGCCTCCCCTCATCTCCTCTCCTCTCGTCTCCACCCCTCTATCCTTCGAGCGTCTGCTTTTAGAAGCAGTCTCCTGAACCCAAAGCCTATTTTACGGGGAGTAGTTTCTCACTCCTGACGCTGCGCTTAGAGAAATTAGTAAGTGACTGACACAAGACATCCACAAATTGAATTTCTCAAGAGGGAAGACAGATGGACACTCACATAAACACACACACGCACATACACAAGGCCATAAAGTCATGCTCTTTTCTCTGCAGGAACAGAGGACAAATGGATATACTAATGGGAGAGTAGTCAATTATGGGACGTTCCACCCTGAAGCACCCTGCTGTTTGGTAACTGTGAAAAAAAAAGAGTTTGCAGCATTTCCTTTATTAGTTTAACAATCTCCACTTCCTTACTAAATTTATAACTCTGCTCAGTTGTTCCAAATGGTGTCACAGCATTTCTTAGTTCATTGGTTCTTTTTCTATCATTCTGGAGACGTCATGTTTTCTCTCAAATTTATTTTATGTGCATGAATAAATGACATTCTCTTATAGTATTACTTTTCCATTTCAATCTACAGTATGCCATGAAGCAAAACCTTTTTGACCTTTTGAAATAAACTGTTTACAAACTTACGTTTAGACTCCTTTTGGTTTATGTGGTTACTGCATATTTTCACTTAGCTGGAAAGTAAAAACAAAAACTTTCTAACACATGTAGTTTAAGTTAATAGTCATAGTATATTAGTGATAATTGTAATATATAGCATGTTCCAATCATCTTCCTCTTCATTTTAAAGCTTGTGAATTAGCCATGAGACTTTGATGCCCACATTGATCAAAGAACAGCCTGTGCTGTCTGCATGTGTTCCTTGTGTGCATATAGTGTGCAAATCTGCCATAGGCGTTACATATAATCCTTGACAGTACAGTAATGTTTGAAGTGCATAGATTTTAGATTCCTTTTGAATGTCCCCCATAAGGTGCTGTAGGTGTCTTGCAGAGTTTTTATTGTTCTTCACAGTTAAGGGAAACAGCTCAGGGAGAAATAGCAGCAGGTTGTCAGTAGATAAGCAAAATTTTTCCTGATGTGAATTTGGATTTTGTCTCTTCTGAATGTGTAGAGTTGCATCCCCAGAATATTTGTTTAATTTTTTTCCTCTGAGCACTTTGGCTGATTTCCAGTCTGCTTTTTTTGAAAGCAGATACATCCCCCTAAATGTATTGGGATGTGGAAACAAGTGTTCTGTAGCCTGAGAGCCAGCCATGCCTGTCTGATGCGTTCAGGTAGAAGAGAGCTAGTGCTGGTCTTCCAGTGTGTATTGTAAGAGAAGCTCTTTGGGCACAACAGGGGGGCTGTGATAGAGTGCCAGCAAGACTGCGGGGGATTATTGCTGCTGTTCAATATCCTTAGGGGTTTATGAGAGATAGAGTTTTTGTTTATACAACAAATTAAAACCATAGAGCATCATCGTATTCAGGAAAAAAAAAATGTCAGACATTCTTAACTTGGATTGAAGCTATGGGTGTCTGTGATAGCTTGAGGATGTACAGATGTATGACCACATTTATGCCTTCTTTGCCAAGTGTTTTTCTCTGTTGGACTCCACCTCATTAATCTTGTTCCGTATCTTCCTCTGTTTGTCACTACAGCTGCATTACAGCTTTCTGAATGACACAATGATACATTTTTCAAAAGTACAGAAGCAAAATTGCCTTAAGGTTTGTTGACAGGAAGGGGCAGCAAGATAACTTACTAACATTGGTCATCACCGGTCAAGGCTTCCGAGTGACAGTGATATTGATTTCTTATCCAAGATTCAGTTAGTTCTCCAGATATAAAACATTATTGAGAATTATTTGCTCACGTTACTGTTTTGTGATGAAATTTTAATCCAAAATGTATCAAGTTTAACATACCAGTTTCAATAGAAATACAGATGCAAAGAAACAATTTTAGTTACATCTTAAAAATTCTCTCCATACAAACTGAGCAGTATATGAGTGACACCCAATAAACAAGCCTAGCAACATACATCCATCTACCCATCCGTCGTTCCATGCATTGCTCCGTTCGTTCTGCCAAACTGTCAGGAAGGCTGTGTTTCCTTTGCATTCATATGCAATCCAGGGGACACAAAGTGCTGCCAACCAGCTGTAGTCTGCTCTGTTTCCCATCTTCTCTCTCCCTTTCCATCTCTTCCACTCCTCCTTTCTCTGTCTGTCTGTCTATCTGTCTCCCACTCCTCTGGAAAGACATCAGGTACAGGTGTGACAGGAGAAGAGACAGATGGCAAGGATGACAGGAGAAACTTTTGGGGTGGAAATGAAAATCAGAACATGTGAAGAAAAGAAATGAATCCAACACACACGCAGGCACACACATTTTGCTATTTGCTGGCCTGTCAGCCCTCCACATGAACTACAATTATGTTGGTGCACACACACACACACACAGGGAGTGCATATGCCCTTCATAATAAGCCTGCTTGATGCTTTGGCCTTGAGGCTGATAGGCATGCTAGAGAGTGTGACAGCTTATAACATCACAATGATGGAGATGTCATTAAACAGCAATGTTTTATGAGTGGCCTGTGTGCTTGTGGCAAAGATTGAATTCCAGGCTCTCATCTCCTACATCCAACAGTACATGTACACTATAATAACACCTGTAGATGCACGCACACACACACACACACACACATACTATATACAGTACACTCATATACTGTACACAAGTGCATGATGACAGATTTGCACATATAATACACACACACCTACTCAGTATCCATGGTTATTTGTGCAAAAGATTTATCACACACACTCACAGCCGCCATACGCATTCAGTTTTGTCCTAGCCTTGTCCCCATTTCAGTCAATGCCCACTGCCAACTCTGGACGGGCCATTGACTCTTGTATCTCATAAAGGTACAGTATATAGTAAAACCTATATGTCCTCTACTCTATTGCGGCCTTAGCACCAGTATTAAGGCTAATGGGCCTTGTGGAGAAGCTCTAAAACAAGAGGACTGATGAAGGCTCATGGCTGTAAAATGTGACAATAACCTAGCACTGGGCAAGTCTGTTGTTCCTCGTCAAGGCTGATGTTGTTGTTGTTAAGTTTGATGTCTACTTCTGCACAGGGTCTTCTTTTCATGATGTTTTTAAACCGGGGAATCAAAAGAAGCCGTCTTCTTCCGACACTCACTTCACTGTTCAAACACAAGTTGCTGTGCATCGCATTGTTGTATAGGGATAACTGATACATATATAAGATAAAAATATCACTTTCCCATTAACTCGAATGAGTATGTATGTGTGTACGTATATAAGTATAATGCTTTGTTTGTTTCTTGTGTTGCTTTCAGGGTATTTTCTACAGACCCTCTTCCCGCCCTCCCGGCGTTCCCTCCAGGGCTGCATGCAGGCAATCCTGGTGGATGATCAACCTGCTGATTTGCATGCAGTGGAAAAAGGCACTGTGGGAGCCTTTGAAAATATCAGCCTAGACATGTGTGCAATCATAGACAGGTAGGAGTGATAATTCCTGCATGCACACACATCCACACAGTCATTCGTAAATGAAAATACTCGTTCAAGTCATATGCAGAGCAAAAAAAACAAATCATAAATCAAGTGGTTTTAAATTGGGAGAGTCATATTGTAAACAAGGCTGTTATGTAGAGTCTCTGGATTCTTATCAAGAGATGTATGACTCAGGGCTCTGGTTGTTGAATTTGTTTAAGTATGGCTGGTTTTTGTGTGCTTGTCAGACTGATAAATGGATATAATTGATGGGGTGGATTCGCCGTGTAAGGGGATGTGTGTTTTCGCTTTAAACTGAAAGTAAAGAGTATGTTTCATCCTTGGAAAATACTGTATGATCTTAATCAAACATCAAAAATGGGCCACTTATTTTTCTATTTTATTGCCAAGTATACCAGAGCTTGAGATTCCGCACAGAATGTCCCAGTGTTGGCTCACTGGAAGAATTCATTACCACTTGTTGACATTTCAATTTATTTCCTTGTCATGGACTAGAAAAAACATTGGGAGACAGATTTGCCATATATGGAATCATCCATGCCTTGAGCTCAAATTGAGTGTTTCCTATCACTGTGCAAAATATTTAAACTTTGTAGACTGGTTTAACCTTCTGCAATTAAGTCTTCTCCTATATTAAATAAGGGTTGAGTGGCATTTGGATATAAAGAAGATTTCTGTGATTATTAGAAACTGCCAAGGTTGTATCATTAAGGTGAATGAGAGTGGGAAGCTACAATTAAGGGCTCACCTTGCGCTGACTGGAACAGCATTTTCCCTGAACTGAGCGATTTGTTTTCAGCTCAGCTTTGTCAATAACACTTACCTTCATCAATATCCTTGCCCAGAGAAGTAGACACCAGCTGCCACTGCTTAATTTAGTTCAATTTTGTCCTTACTTCAAGAGTGGTCCGGCTTGCTGGGATACTCTAGTTTATACTACAAATAAGGCAATGTCCACACTAACATAAACAGACATGTTTACAAAAACATGTTTATATTGTCAAAGTGAGTTTTTGTACTCAAAAGCTTTTTCAGATTATTTACCAGAAGTTCTCAGTTCATGCTGAAAAGTTGACTTTCATCACCTTTTACTCTGTTTGCAAGTTAATTTTGTGTTTTATATCACTGCATGCACAATTGAGAAGTTCTAATTGATTGGGAATTTTGTTGTTTGTTTGTTTGTTTGACATATTGTGACATTTTAGGTTAATATACCAGACGTATTAGAATACAGTTGTTTACACATCCTGCAGACGTGGGGCAACATTAGCATTAGTTTGGTGTCGTGTTTCTGCCTGGATGACAAATGTATGTCCAATATTTACTCTCCTTTAAGCTCTGTATTTCGTTTCCACTAACTCCTGAGAGAAATATCTGGCTCCTTAGAAGCTACATTTTCCTCTATGTTCACCAGCTAGTCACTTACTTTGTCTGCTTGGTGCCCTAGGCAGGTACTCTATAGTCGGTTTGTAAAGCTTTTTGGCTGAAAACAGTTGACTACTGCAGCTGAAAATGATGCTATTAGAGCAATGAGAATGAAACAAAAAAAAATGAGGTTGTGGCACAGAAAAGCACAACAATGAGCTAAAACACATACACAAATAGGCATAATGGTGCACCTTTACGGCGATTGCAGCACATTTGTGTCGCTGCATGGCATTTGTGACACTATAGTGTATGTAGGTGGTTACACACAGCCTTTCACAGGTAAGCTTTCACAGGATGCTTAAAATAGGGTTGGAGGAGAGAGATAGCTCTTGTTCCTGCAGTCGCTCAAACTTTGATGGCCTCTGAGAAACAATCACTAGTTTACCAGTAAATAGAAACCTTGATCCATAAAAATACATGCAAAACATAAACCCTATTTTTACTGACATACTGTTGCTGGGATTGTGTGTTACAGTTTTATTGTTGTTGATTTCTCAGATTGGTACATGATCGCCCAAGACTGTGATTGACTGCATATGACGTGTGCATTTGTGTGTGTGTGTTCACTGGAGCCTTTTATTTACGTGGTTTTCTGTTCCACTATTTCTATATGCGAGGTATATTTCTGCCAAGGTCACACCTCGATCTGAAGCCATTTACAGTTTAACAGTAAATGTCCATGATTACTGAAAGTACGCTGTAGTAGTTTTTCAGTTATCTATATCATTTGTCACTGACTTGGTCGTAAGACAAACAGCACATTTTTTTGTGTATTTGTGTAATTAGAGATACACACACATGCGACCATACAAGAGACAGAGAGAAGGAGGGAGTGAGGTATTATTTATCAATGCATTGTCTGTTAAAATGAACCGAAATACATGTTAATGACAGTGGCTGTGCTGTGAGATCGACTAGTTGACATTTAAAATGAATGATGAGAAAGCTGTGAAAACTGAAAGCTTTGATTCTGCCCTAGAATCGGTTAGTCTATAGCACCGATCGGCAAATACGCATACAATAACTTGCGCATACAAAACAGCGTGAAAAACAGCACAGGAAAGCGGCTCATGAACCGTCGTAACTAAAAACACCCAGCACATGTCCCGATCAGTCATGTTACAGACATTATTGACAGCAGATTAAGTCAGACTGACACACTGACCAGGATAGAGAGACACACACATTTAAATTGACCAGTGACTGGACAATGAATATGATTTGAAATATTTCTTATGTCATTGCAGTATTAGAAGTGGTTTATTATTCGTGTTTGGGCTTGTGTTGTGGCGGTGAGCAGCCTCTCTGGGTCTTTCTGCATCACTCATGGATCATGCTGCATTTTTGAAATTGATCATTTTACCAATGCAGCTAGAACGGCTAGAATCAGTGTTTCATTGAAGTCACACATTAGAGGAAATAACAGGCAACGTGTGATGCTGAACTTGAATGATAGGCTATCATAGACTAACTTAATATATGACATTTTATGTTTTACTGTAGTTCTGCTCTCTTTTAAGCTGCAGAAGTTGGGAGCTGCAAACCTTTTAATTATTTTCTTTTTTAAATTAAACCTCACAAGGAAAGGCTGAAATGAAATATAAATCTAGGATGAGAAAGAAATTAAAAGAAAGAATGTTCTCTGAAAATAGGATTACAGAGACTGCCCAGTACTCTAATAAGCATCAGCCTATTCTTCCCACCTACCTGCTGGCAACCTGTCTCCTAGAAACTATGTTTCTATACAACTAAACTTCAACAGCAAGTGCATTTTTTATCATACCAGATTACATTTTCTATTATGTAATGGAAATTCAGCAAGTCACAAATACATTGATACTGAACATATCAACAAAATGTTCACAGACATCATCTCTTGCCAAAATATTCAATCTTGCAGTACGATATCCGCTTCAAGTGACTGCAGCATTATTAAACTGTTTTTATGGTTATGTTTAGGCACTCACAGCTCTTAGTTAAGATTGGGGAAAGATAGTGATCTGGGATAACCCAGACTGAAGGCACCCTCTAAAAGAGCATTCTGAAACATAAGCATTGTTTATGTTGATTACCTAAAAACTAAGGGTTTTCTGAAAAACTTGGCTTTGCCATAGAAATTGGATCTGGCTGGAAAAACAGCCAGGTCCAATTTCACATTTGTCAACATTTCCAGTTCAGTTCAATATTTTTAACATTTATTTTTTTTATTATTTATCATAATTTATTTATTTTTACGTTGATGAACATTAAGGTAAAAGCAATGATTTTCAATAAAAGCCAAAAGTTTAAAGGTCGTTGCATCAGGTGAATCTTTACGTCAGGCTAGCAGTTATACTGGCATTCAGCGAAATCCTCCTCCTCCCCCTTCCCCCCTCGCCCCATCCCTGACATGTCTCTCACCCTGAGCCTTGGCTTGCTGGTTAGCAGTTTAGCACATCGAAGTCTTTGTCTGAATCTTTGAAGTCGTTGTCATTGCTGCTTTCATCCAAGTAACTGCTGTGCTTTGCTTCAGTGTCGCTCCCCTGGCTCAGGTCGTCAGCTGTTGTCCATTACTTTTGAACGTTTTTTGCGGGCTAAAACAAACAAAATAAATTTCCCACAATGGACTTTGCCGTTATGACATTTCAGCGAATCGCAATGCATTTTATCAGTCACATGTCTTAAAAAGGATAAAATTATATACTGCACATGTATGTTTCATCTGGTCTTAAAGGGAGACAGGCTCCTGCCCTCTCTGGTCATCTAGACAATTTTTCATTGCAGCCAGTTCATGATATAGTAGTTCTCATTCATATTCACAACAGCTGTGTTTACCCTGATTAATAGATCTTTGACTCAGTGTCTGAAACCCTGTGTGTAAAAGATTAGGATTATTTATCCGGAGTGTTGCCAGTATGATATGAAATTCAGTGAGACAATTCACAAGCTGCTCTGGGTCTCCTCTCTGCATCAACAGAGTAGTAGTGATGAGGGAACGGTTTTGTGACACCTGGAGGCAGAAAAGAGACCAGCATGTTGGATCTTATGAGGTTTTTTGCGAGACTTGGACGATACTCCGTTCTTACTACAATTACACCGCAGGAGCACTGGAACCACACTCTGCTAGAAAAGTATGTAGTATATAATTATTGCCATTGCTGTTTGTGGTGCATTTCTACTACTGATAGGGCTCAAAGGTCTTGAGATGTCCAAAACTATTTCTTATTCCAGCTGCTTGCAGTATTGCCCATCTCTATTATTTCTTGTGTTTACGTTTTGTTGTGTGTCAGCCCTGCAGTACTTGAGGTGGGCCCTGCTCTGCCATGGAAGATGAATGGGTGCAGTGTTACCATCTAACTAATAAGAATGTCTTTGAAGGCAGTTCAATAGCCCTGTCTGACCTCTTTTTGATCAATGCCGTTCTACTGTGGGATTCTCTTTGGGCTGGGATGGTGGAGGAAGCAAAACACACACTCATCCCCACAGGCACACCCACACAAACACAGGGGCATGCATGTGTGCATGCAAATTCCTATGTTTCAAAATGTCACTGTTATTCTGTAAGAGTACCACAACAAAACATGCCGTGGCACATAAAAGCGTACACGCACTCTAGAGGTGCTCCATTCTCTTTGTAGATTTTGCTTTTTTCTTACACAAAGCTCAGAGCATATATATTCGGTGTACTTCAGTGCTCACAGCTTGCTGAGCATAATATTTTTCATGATTTTTAGTGCTTGTCAATCGCACCTCACTGTGAAAGCACAATAGCATTTTATCTGCACTTGTTAGCTGCTGAAGCTACAAAATATCTTGCCACACATCGCTCCCTGGCATATTAGGTTTTTTTTTGTTTGTTTTTCATATACAGTACATGCCATAGCATGTTGAGAATTTCAAGGTTTAAAATTATTTTAATCAAAAATGAATGGCAGGTTGGCTAATCCATAAACTAAAAATATATATTTTTTTTTTTTATTCATCCAAAGTGGTGTCACAGTATGGAACTTGCTTTCTACAGCTGTAAGGCTCTACAAGTTTACACATAGCCAAGCAGATGACTTCAAGTTCTTAGTCTTAGATGTCATTTGTAGTAAGAATAGCAGGCGGGTACAAATGTCGTAGTGTTGCTCAGTATCTTTTTCTGCATCAGTCAACAGAGTCGCCAAGAATACAGTATCCTCAGAGAGGTGGAGGATTATTTTCCAAATGTCATTTTTTTGAACTAACTACTAACTACTTTGAACATTTCTTTGAACTATATTTTTCTACAGCAGCTACACATGCATTATTGCTCATCTACATGCACACATAGCCCCAGTACGCATATAGCACAATACATTCATAAAACATTCCTGCGTTTCATTTCTTTTTTAACACTCGATCTGTGTTTCCTTCATTTTCCGAAAGTAAATACTCCTACACATGTTCACAGTTAAAGATGCTTTACCGTCAATGAACCCATCATATATCATATGAACAAGCCCACAGTTGTCTGTCGGCTTCATAGTCACTGTATGATGCAGTGATCATCATGTCTCTCTCCAGAGATGGAGTGTCTCTGTCTGCCCGACTCCCTACATGACTAAAGAAGAGCTCAGCATTTTAAAAGGACCCCTGCAGCTCCCATGAGTCAGTGTTTGTTTTTCCTCCAGCTGGCTTTCCTCTTATCATCACTTTGATTCATTCAAATAAGCAGACTCAGATATTTTAATCACATAACTTGTGCATGAGTATGTGCGCGCGCATGTGTGTGTGTGTGTGTGTGTGTGTGTGTGTGCGTGTGTAACACTACAGTGCCTCGGGACCCATCCCCACCAGGCCTGCAGGCGGATCAAACCACAGAACTTAGATGTGTTCAGGGTTTCAGTTGCTATTCAAACTTCAAGAAAAACAGTGATGTCTTAACTACTGTCTGCTTCCTGCTGTATTCACAATGAGGTGGATAATGTTTGCTTCTATCTACATTCCTAAATTCCAGATATCTTTGAAACGTGGATCCTGCATTGTAACTATTAAATTCCCTCTCTTGGCAGGAAAATTGTGCATTACAGCCACCATCTGCATAGATAATCCACACGATAAACCCCAATGCTACGAACACTTGAATTGTGTTTCAGTATATGTAGACATGCAATTTTGTTATTTTTATTAATATATTGTTCTGTTTCTTTTGTCACAAGTATAAAATAGTGATTTATTGCAGCTCATAACTACCTCCTGTTAACCAGATGACCAGTAATTCCCTCCTTGCTGTCTCATTGACATTCCAAATGAGCAATTACATCTTATCTTTATGCTGCCATATGTCACAACTTTGGATACAATTTTTTTTTTTTCTTCTCCACACTTTCAACATAACAGCTAAGTTTCAGTCCCTTCTAAAAAACATTGTCAAAAAGCAACAGTGAGTATGGAAAAGGCCATCGTTGAGTTGACAAAGGGCCAAAACAGAGGGAATAATGTGTTTTCAAATAGGCAGCCCGCTGGCTACTCCATGTCACAATAGCTTAAGGTGGTGAGTGTCTGACTGCTATGTTTAATAAATTGAAATATTTGCACTCACTGTTGGATATCATAAATATTACAAGGTTTACTGCTGCCTACTGCTGGTCTCACACTGCTCTTGAATTAGAATGTGTAGCATCCTTTGCATGCTAATGTATGTGTGGTCAGTGAAATTGCGAAGCCTACATGAATCTGCACTCATAAAATCCACTTTTTAAGATACAGAAAGTTTTGTGTGCAGTCTCAGTGGGATATTAATGCCTCTCTCCATCAGTCCAGATATGTATTGCTCTGGAAAGAATCCCAGCCTAGCTAGAGAGCCTTTAAAAGAATTTCTCGATGTGTGAGGTTCAGGTTAATACATATAACAGCCTGAATCACCTGGGCCCAGTTTTCCTTTTCATTATGACTATGATTATTACTTCTTTGTACTTTAGAACAGTTTATATTGTATCCCACCATTGTTGTACACAAAGTGTAGGATATTCTGATGTAATCTGCCCCATAGAAGAAAATAGTCACCATGAACATTATCCCCATCTTTACACAGGAGTGTCTTAAGTTTCACTTTACTTGTTTAATGGTTTATTTGACTCCCTTTTAGCTCAAGGCCAGTCTCCCAAGAGTCCATATTGAGTTTTGACCACATTTAGTCGGCATATTTAATGACACGTTCGAAACAAAGAAAGATGGATGATTTCAGAGCAGGGCTTTGTTGGGAACTTTTTATACTGGTGTTTGAAAGTATGTCTTGTATCACCAGAATATCTCACACATTTGACAGATGAGCAGGTGGTTTGTTAGATATTTCATGGTCATATTGACATAACCACAGTTGAATCAGCTTTCTGATGCATTGTGGTTGTATAGAATGAAGTAGTGTGGCAGTGGGCAGTGTGTGTGTGTGTGTGTGTGTGTGTGTGTGTGTGTGTGTGTGTGTGTGCGCGCGCGCGCCTCTGACCTTTACATTCTGAAAACATATTTTTCCTTCTTTTTAAGGCGGCTCATGTCTTGTTTATGTAAAAGCACCTTGTCTCGCTCCCTCTCTCTCCAGGTGTATGCCTAATCACTGTGAACACGGCGGCAGGTGTAAACAGACATGGGATAGTTTCAGCTGTACCTGTGATGGGACAGGATACACTGGAGCCACGTGTCACACTTGTAAGTATGGGAGTGAGTGTGCATGCAGTTGTGTGTTCCTGCCCATCTGTTTTTTCCCCCCATCACATTAATACAACTGTATTCTGTTTCTTGTGTGTTTGTTTGATTTGGCCTTCCTCTTTCTGCCTTTGAGTGATTAAGCTGTTCCTCCTTCCAAAGCCGTAATTCTCAGCAGAGGGACAGATTAACTTTTGAAGTGTTCAGAGGCCAGGCTTTACTGACTGCGCTGTGTGCTTTGTTCTGGTCTGAGAAGCGGCAACCCACCAAAAGCACCAGCACACAAAGAGAGCAGAGTCAGAAAGAGAGAAAAGGCCAAAATAGTTTTTTTTTTTTTAAAGGCTTACAAATTTAAGAATGCCGTCCTTCCATATGCCACAATTATTGTTCTCTTTTTAGAGAGGGTGAGAGAGAGAGCTTTTAGCTATATTGTGCATGTTCAACCTAAAACAACAAATTAAATATGACTGAACTGTGAGGAAAAAGTGTGAAAAAGACAGGATAAAGTATGCCAGAGGGACATGGGAGTATGAATAACATCAGAGAAGAAATAAAGCATAGACAAATAAAACCACCGAAATGTGATAAAAACAATATGAAAGATGTCTTTGTGTCACCACATATTTTTCTGTCTGGGTGTGTTAATATTATTATTATTATAATGACAAACTCACTAATAAGATGTATCTGAAGGCACAGCAATAACCTGGAGATTAGGGTGTCTGGTTCGGAACTGGAAAGTCACGTGTGCATTCAGGGGACCAGCCAGTAAAATGTAGGTATAGGGAGAATGGATGAGTAATGCTTTCCCTTCCCTTAACGACGATTGTTGACTTTCCTTTTAGGAAGGCATCAAGCTTTAGATTCTTCTTACTCAAGTGAAAATGTTTAGTGGCCAATAGTAGAAGGCTGTGACTGCACCTTGTAGCTTTAACGCAGAAATTGCTTTTTAAAAAAAAAAGCTTCAAAAGATTGGTGTGCTCAGGACTTTCTCTGGTTGAATAAAAGAGAAAATAAAACAAAAAGAAAAAAGCTGAAAAACTGGGGTTTTAGTTTAAGAGTGACAAACGTGATGGTCGGTTCTGAGGGGCAGTTTTGAACATTAAGACCAATTTATTTGTGAAAAGCAATACAACTCAGCCTGTGATATCAGTTGTACAGTGTCACATGGCTCTGTATGAGATTTGTCAAACCCTGTTTGTATCATCAGGAATATTTTTCTTATACTTGAACACTAAAAATGCATTAAAAAACAGCGTGAAATTTTAAAGATGTGGGCATTTACTGAACAGCGGGCGTCCGATGAAAAGAAAACATTAAAGTGTGTAATGGGAGTTTGGGGAGTTTGATGTGTGGGACTCAAAGTCAGGATATTTTGGCATAAATTATTGTAGTTATTGTTTTCGTCCAAGTCACCAAATTTTATGGCACTGCAACAGTAAATAGCTGGAGAAGCTGTTGCTTTATTAATTTTGATTAATCGTAAAGGTCATTTATTAGGCATAAATATCAAACATTTGCTGATTCAAATTCTTCAGCTTGATAATTGCTGCTTTTCTTTGCATTATGTCATGGATATACGGCCATTTTGGACTGTTAGTTGGAGAAAATAAGCAATTTGACTGCGCTAGGTTTACACATATTGCCTGAATTGGTAGCTACAGCTGGTGCTAATGGAAGGGAGTAGCATCGTGCCCTGTTACAGGCTGTAAACTGCTGATATCTTCTCATGTAGTACTTTTGGTTTCAGGTTCATTACTGTTCTCACCGTATTCCAGTTCTGGTGAAGGTTACAGTGAAACATGGGTCTCACAAGTGTTAATTACTTTTAACTGGATCGTTATAAAGCTCAGTTACACACCATTACTACCATCCTAGCACTTAAATCTAAAGGCACACTGGCCAAACATGATTTTTTATTTGCTTATATATTTTATATAGTTTTATTCACACTTTCCCCACCAGTGCAGCTTCTGTAACTTTCTCTGCTGGCCTTTGAATCTTTCTATTGTGTTCCACTACAGTAAAGCAATCCTAGAAGAAATGCTAGTTATTTAACTTCCACTGTGTTAAAGCTGTTGACCAATGGCTTTGAACCAGAAGTAGTGCCTCAACAATTCTGTTAAGTTCTGTGCAGTTCCTGGTGAAGTAGTTCAGCAGGGCAGCACTGGGTGAGCAGATGGATATAAAGAAAAAAACTACTAGTATGATAAAGAGCTAATATTAAGCAAACTCATTGAGAGAAGTAAGACGGAATATGTTTTCTTTTGAAACTCACTGTCAACAGTCCCTCAATCAAGAAAGTTTCACTCCAAGTCACACTCTCACATTTCTCTTTGAAGTGTAATTCTTCCTCCCCTCCCCTCTCTGTCTGTCTGTCTATGTGTAGATCAACACAAACATAACATCGATATGTTGTCAAATAGATTGCTAGAGTGTGTGGGACAAGACACCACTTCTTGACAGGCGCTGAATAGAGACTTGGCAACCACATGAAATTGCCTTGTGGGAGGAGGAACAAAAGGAAGTAACTATAGACACTGATGTGCTATTTTAGACCAATCCCATGTGTAGCATGTGGTATTAGTATATGCCATGACTGATCCTGTAATTTCTAACCATACAGACGATATCTGCAAATCTCTATGAGTGGTTCACCGTAATGACTTCTTCTCTAGTGCCACCCTCGGATCAGAAAATGAGAATGGCTGCTACACAAACCTCTGAATGCTTTTATGTTCACTAGAGGATCAAGCCCTCTGATTTTCCTGTAGATAAAACCATCTTAACACTGCCACCACCTTCAGGTGTTTTTTCACCATTAATGAATGTGTAAGAATAGCAACATTGTCTCTCCCTTTTTCATGCATCCAACAACAGTGCTTTGAAATCATTCTCACGAAATATGGATATTTTCCAATATCTCGTGACAGAATATAAAGACTGACGTAAACTGATGTTCAAAGCAATGAGATTTGTGTCACTATTATGCAATACACAAGACCAAATTCTTCATAGGTGTCCAACAATGAATTTTATACTAAATCAAAGATGTAATTAGCATCACAAATTAGTGGCTATGGACTTTTGTCTTTTCTGCTCTCTGCTCTCCTTCCTCCAACTGCTCTACTTTCCTCTTATTCCCCCACCCACCCACTCAACTCCACCCCTACCCCCACCCCAATCCCAGCTGTCTATGAGCCATCATGTGAGGCCTATAAGCATTTGGGCAGGTCCTCTGACACCTACTGGATAGACCCTGATGGCAGCGGACCCCTTGGCCCCTTCAAAGTCAACTGCAACATGACAGGTGTGTGTGGGAGTGCCTGCAGTCATTGTTTGTGTGTGTGTGTGTGTGTGTGTGTGTGCGTCTTTGTGTATGTTCACACTTCCCTACTTCGTGTAGCCCCAGTGACCTGTGAGGGAAGGAAACTCTCCAGCCCTCCACATTCTTAACCTCAGACAGCAGTACTCTTAACCTGCTATACCTGGGGTTTCCATGGCAACACTGTCACAGCTGACATTTAACTCTGAAGGAGCGGGCACACATGGACACACATACATACCCACACCACAAACATATGAAACAGACTTGTTATGTAAACCTAAGAGTGCTCCAATGGTCTGGGTGACACTTCTGTCACATACACACACACACACACACACAGACACACACATATACACTCCCCGCCCACCTCCACACATGCACATACGCACGCACACACACAGTGGAATTAGATAGTCTGGAACAGAGGAGCACGCAGGCAGAGCAAAGGCGAGACTTCTAATGAAATGTCACTGCACTCCACTGGCTAGCCCCTTAGTCACGCTGAATAGCACACTCACACACCTCAGAGACATGAAACACACACACACACATTCCCTGACTGACAGTGTGAATGAATGTGGAGATGTCTGAATGACTGGCTCATGTTATAACAGCACACATTATCTATTAAACCCTGCAGTCGCATAGCTGTAACTCAGATAGCACAGAAGGAACTTCCCTGCCATGACAGCTAAACTGCTGTTTTTTTTTGTGTGTATGCCTGTGTTTAAATGTAATTGGTGTAGATTTGATTACACAAATGGTTTACCATGTCTAATTCTTGCAATTAAATAATTATTATTTTTGCTATGTTCAGTAACTCACAGTATTGACATGTCTAACAGTATTGTGTGTGTTGGTATGTGTAGAGGACAAAGTATGGACAACAGTTATGAACAACCTGCCACCTAAAACTACAGTGACTGGCTCCAGTAGAGAGAGACGCACTGTGCTACAGGTCAACTACAGCGCTTCAATGGACCAGGTAACAAAACTGAGTTTATGCCTGTCCACACATACTGTTTCCACAAAGTAGATGTGATGTTATTCTCATATGTATAACTATAAAAAAAAATTGATTTTTTAAAATATAATTAGATAGGTGTATAATATGAAGTGTATTTAAATTGTAGCCTTCAGGCTCTTAGCTTCATCCTGAGGGATTCCATATCTACATCCTCTCTTGAAGGATGAGGAACACAAGGATTTTTCATTGAATATTTAATATTTTTGTAGATAGCTTCATTGAATTTTCAAAAAAGATTATACAGTATATTGTCAGTTAAATACTCAGTCAATGTCCTACACTTGAAAGCAGGTCTAACATGGAGTACGGGGAGTACTTTCTAAACACAATTGTTGATTATATTTTGTGTCCCTTTTCTCCCACATTTCTACTATGTCAGGCTACTTACTCAGATGTTTACTGATCAAAAATTCCTCTCTAAAAATGAACTGGAAAGAAGCAAACTGTAATATACGCCTACACATCAGTCAGTGATCCACAGAGGCCGGTAGTAGCTTTTATGTGTGAATTTTTGACAACTCAATGAATAAAAAGCTTTAACAGGTGCAAAACCAATCACTCATAATTATTTGCCTCCACATTTTTAATTTTAGTGCTGTTTTTCAATGTTTCAATCCCAGGCCTTGTATTTGGCCTCATCACAATCTAATGTCTAACCACCATTAGCTGCTTCTTCACATTTTTGATGTGTGCTGTTTAAATTGTCAGAACAGGTCCACATTTAAGTCACACAATTACACCTCAGTCTCCACTTCCTAAAAACTGCAGAGACGAAACAAAACTACATTTTATAAGTAGATTATATAAGTATGTCTCTTTTCCCATGGTGCAACTTTGTGGTTCAGTCAACCAGTGTTGTCTAGTTGTAGTGTTTTTGTCAAATGTATTAGTAACAGCGAGTCTGTGCTGGGAGAGAGCCTTGAGCTGTTTGTGAATTAAAGTTTGCTAACATAGTGCTTTGAGAATCTAGTGAATCCAGATTGCCCAGTCTCCATAATTTATAATTCAAGTATATTGAGCAATAGTTGGCCAACTATCCAAGTTGGGTTGGGGCCACCGAGTGTAGAAGTCAGACAGATTTGTGATATATTCTGAAATTCTTGCTTGTTTATGTTAATGTGAGTGACCACCCCTCTTCCTACAGTTATTATTAATCAGAGTGAAGTGGGTCATTTCTCATTGGATCTTGTGACGGTTGTAAATATATAGAATAAATGAGGTCTGTAGCCATGGTAACATCCATGCTACATACCAATGTCTCTGCTGTCATTGTTTTGACAAACCCACACCAACAGCAGCATCATACACTCTACAGCTTGAAATAAGAACAAGCGTAATTCAAGCCCACGCTACAGAGTCAGTCTTTATTCTTTCAAATACACAATGATATTCTAACATAATGAGTGTTTCCTCTCATGTCTCTACCAGTTGTCTTATGTGGCTCGGATACATACCATTCAGGCTCCCTGAATCTGCTCTCTCACACTCAGGAGTCAATAATTTAATCTTTCTAGGGAGTGGTTATAGATTGCATTTGTCACTCACAGTCAAAAGCAAACTGTGTGTGAACTTTACAGGATTCAACACTCCAGTGAGGAGTGACAGCAGTTCCTACCTGCAGTGTGTACAAGACCACCGCATTACAAGAGATGACAGGGTTTGAGTAGCATATTGTTCCTGTAATTATGTTCCCTCAAAATTTGTAAGGAACACTTGTTTCATTTTCAGCTTCTCTGAATCAAAACAACAGTACACTGCACTTTGTTTCATTTTGAAAATCAGTAATTTGTTCTTACATGAAATTGACCTGTCTGGTTGAATAAGATAAAATGAAATTATCCATGCTTATGTTTCCAGGTGACAGCTATCACCACCAGCGCAGAATACTGTGAGCAGCAAATCACCTACAGCTGTCAAAAGTCCAGACTCCTCAACACTCCAGGTAAAGGCTGAAGACAGCATCTTTTTTTCACCACTGATTCAACACAAGTACACAGACTTGAGACAGGCAGAATGTTTGTTTTTTGTCACATACTCAGATTTTGAAGAATCTGGATAAATGTAAACAAAAGTAGACAAACAAAGAAAGATGAGTATGAAAATGATGGGAAGCAAACACCTATTCGAGATTCTCTGCTAACATGACAATCAGCTCCAGCGTCATCAAATCACCAAATGCAAATATCTTTTGGAAAAATGGTGTTCCATCCCTCCACTTGAGTTCCGCAGCTTTAAAGCCAAGGAGCTTTAAAGCTGTTCTAGCGGTGTGTTATGACCCAACTCCTTAATACGACACCACATGTTGGTTTTGCCTCTAATTCGTCACCCATCTAAATGTTTGAACCGTTGCCTTCATCCTGCCTTTACCCAGCACTAGAATTACACATGAAAGTATTGAAAAAGACCATTGGAAATGAGTTGTGGACTAGCTTGGCTCATTCTGAGTAGATTAACTTGGATTACATTCATTTGTATTAGTCAGTTTGGCTGTAATGTACTTGAGCAAGGCCTGGTGTGTGTTTGGTTTGGATTAGTTTGGCTGATTTGTGAAATGGCTGAATTGTATAAGGTTTGCCCTGGATTAGATACATTTGATTTGTGTTATGGTTGGTTTAGTGGAGTTTAAACAGGGTTTTGAATACTTTTTATGTATGTAAGAATAGAGAGGAGGGTTTGTAGCTGTGCAGCTACCACTGGTGGTGGTGACAGGACAGACAGAGGCAGCAGCATTTTACTCTTGTTTTTGCTTGGTCCATGTCAGAGCTTGGTATTTAGTCTAATATCTTGTTTGAGGAACACAGTTGTGTATGTGTGGGTACACACACTGCTGTGTGGTTTTCACTTTGAGAATAACAAGCCTGATGTCATTGACAGAGCTGTTTTCTGCCATTTTCGTCTATTTCCTCTGTCCAACACACAGTCACACACACACACACATATACGCACACATATAGTACACACACCCATACACGTATGCACACAAAGACCCACCTTAGGGAATAGCAGTTCATAAAGACAAGACAATCCTGGCAATTAGAGTGAGCGAGAAGAAATAGAAAGAGGGTGAGGGAGGAATAGAAGATAGCAGGTTTGTTAGATGTATGCGTGTGTGTGTGTGTGTGTGTATTTGTGCATACATCATATGTGTGTCCATGGTCCTTGATTGACTGAGTAGGAATAAAGCAATTGGTGGTTAGTAATAGTTGGGTATTAGTGCAGCCGACCAAAACTTTGCAATTAACCTCCACTGCTCTGAGAGATGGCATCTACACCCACGAACATATTGTGTGCATACACAAATACACACACTCTGTGAATGTGCTATTTTTTATGTGTGTTATTTTTTACTTAAAAAACTTAAAATGCTGGAGAACACACATACACACACACACACTCACACACATACACACAGGCATACTCCATCCCTCAACAACACAGACACAGAAACAGTCAGCCACTCCTTCATTAACTAGTTTATTCTTAATTCACTACCTTGTAAGTTAGGGAAATCCAATTACCAGCCTAAAACGACGGAGAGAGTAGGACCGGGAAAAAGCGTTTACCCAAAAATATGCTTCATAAATTAGCTGTCAGCTTTCATCAAATTACACTGTCAACAGCATTTCCACTGTGAACCACAAGCATACACACACGCATGCCTATACACAGACTCACGCTTGCTACTCTTCCACTTCCACCTTTTTCCCATCCAGATCTCATCTATTACACTGGGGCTGGCATTTTGGAGATAAATGAACCGTTAAATGGAAATTAAAATCTGCCACCAGTGACACCCTTAATTTGGAACTTTGGCAGTAATTGTCCTAATTGTCTGACCCCTTCCTCACCTATTTCACGTATTCTGTCCTTTTATCATTTTTTATTACTTCTCTCTCACTCAAACACATCCTGCACCTGCAAACACACACACACACACACACACACACACACAAACACAGCTCATCCCTGTCCAACATCCACCCATTTGCAGGGTGGAAATAAAGGGAAAGCTTGATTCTGATGCAAAAACACGAACACAAAGACTCAAAGAGACACACTCAGGCAATATCACCCCCAACCCTTCTTCCATCTCTGCTCTTCCTCTCTCCACGACTCCCCGTCATCTTTTGCATCCAGATGTATCAATTTTTATCCATCTATTCTCTCCACTTACTCCACACTTACCTCTCCCCTATTCCCGCTTTGTTCTCTCCCCCCATCCAAGTTACCATTTCAAGCCTCTAGTTTTGCCTTTGTCCCATTCTTCACCTCCAGTTTTACCTCACAGTATTTTCTTTCTTCCTTTTTAAATCTCATTTTTCCCCCACCCCATCTCTCTGCCCTTGTCTTTTCACTCACTCTGTTAAACACTATTTCCATTAGTGTTGGAATCACAGCTTTAAGAGGAGAATTACCACCCTTCACTAATGATTTAGCATCATTCCTTTCAGCGTAAACGACCTGTAAACAACCAGTGGCACAAAGCCTGCACAACCAAGCCTTCATGCAGATACAGACACAGATAAAAACACACATCTATCATTCTCTGACACACACACACACACACACACACACACTAACACATTCACAGCTGCAGAGGAGATTGGATGAAACATATGCTGAAGCTTGCGAGTGCTGTACATCATCAGAGGACAGCTGCCTTGAAAGGTCAACAAAGTCCGATGTAAAATGACAAAGCAATTTTATTCCTTCTCTCTGTTTTACAACTAGAGGTCAGTATACACAACAGGCTAATTTAAAAAGTCAGTAAACTACACCTTTGGTTCAAATTAGATTAGATTAGAGCAACCCTATTGCCACACGAATATCGATTCAGAATATTGCTCAATAGTTAATTAACAATGGTTTCGGTTGTTTGCTGTCGACAGTCTCACATGAAAGTCACGTATGTTTCATGGCCATCCACCACCTCACCACCTTTACTTTCTGCCTTGTCATACAAAGTGCACACTACTTCCTGCACCACCACTGGACCCCAGCATTGGACATAAATGGTGTGAGTCACAGAAATGCGCAATGAGGACTTAACATCTAGTGATGTCATGGCTGAATTAGAGTAATGGTGTGAATTAATTGAAGCTCTGTTGAATAAAATATTAATAGATACAAAACAGTATCGTCAGTTTTTGATCAGTGGGACAGAAAGTGTCTCTCTTGTAGAACCACCAGCAACCAAAAATATAAACTCAAACATATTTAACAAGTTTATTTACTGAACAAAACTATTCCACTCTTTTGCCCCTTTGCTTTATTCACATACATACAGTATACACACTCAATTTGACTCACTCCTTTTGTTAACTTATGAAAACACTTTGTGTCTGTCTTTATTTCTCAGACTTGCCTGAAGCAGTTAATAACATAATTTATAGCATCCAGGCTAATGAAGAGAGAAATGTTTCAATCAGATAAATGAGCTCATTAATCCAGTGAACTGTGCTTCAGCAAGACATCTAATACATGCAGTGTTTAGAGGCAACACAGACGCACACATTTTCTGCTCATATGAAGAAGATTTGGCTAAATCGCTGGCCTAGCTAACAAGTGCGTTTTGTGAATAATAATGTTAAAAGATTTTTCAGATTTACCATTTTGCAAATGGGTGTCAGGGACCTGTAATGTGATTCAGTGACAAACTGACATGAGAAGTGCAATTGTCTATAATAACATAGCCTAATAAAGGAATGAAATAAATTTGACTGTAATCTGCAATAAGTTACCTTATCAATGACTGTGTTACACATAAAAGTTTGAAATATTGACTGCAAATGTTAATGTTACACTACAGCAAATGTTAATGGTTTGAGATAATAACCTGGCCATCCTAAAATGAGATTGCTGAAAGAGCTGCATATCCAGCTCTTTTCTATCTGCGAAGGAAAGCTTTCACTTCCTGTCAGCAAAACGACATCCAATTAATCAGGGGTGATGTCATAAAGTTACAATTGTCAAAGCAATTTCTGTCCAATCATGTGTAAAGTTATTATGTTACTCGTAAAAATGCTATCATTATAAAGTGCCATTATTTTAGGACTTAATCACATTATTGATTTTTGTTATGTTAGTGTATTTATTGGCTGTTAAAATGTTCCAGGTTGCTAAAAAGGAGGTATGAGTACGAGACAAGGCAGCTACATGGAATAAGTAAATGGACAGAGGAAAAATAAGGTAATAATAATGAAATAGGAAGCTAAAGAGAGAGAAAGTGGAACAGAGGGAGTGAATGAAAACAGAAAGTAACAGAAAGCTACTGATCTTGATATCAGGTTGGTCCCTCATTGAAAAAGAATGGACAAGTGCTTAACAGGCTTATCACAGAGGTGAGAACAACACTTCAAGCACCAAATGTAAACAAGTTTTTATTTGACTTTATGTAAGCTTTCCTCAGCATTGTATGAATGAATATGTACGGGTCACGGGGTGTGATGTTTTAATAGCCTATAGTATTGTATTGTATAGTAGTGTCCCAGCAGCCTGTTTTGTAAACGGTTTAACTTGGGGACATTGTGGTTTAAGAGGCCTTGTGTAAAATAGCCCCCCCCCCCCCCCCCCCTCCAATAACAACCGTATACAGACACACTAGAAATTGGTCTTTGGTGTAAAAAGGTTATGACAGAGAAGGAGAGAGAGTGAGGTACGCAGAAGGAGAGGAAAGAGACAGGGGTGGCCAGAGATAAGAGATGAGTGTGGTTCAAGATAATGAGGCTGTGTGTATGCGTGGCATTGTTACAGTCCATTCCTTCTAGGCACTTCTGCTCTCAATTATTACCTCACAAGTCACAGCAAGCCAGCCACAGTAATATTCCACATACACATACTCACAGATCTTGCATTACACCCTAATGACTTCATTCAGCGCCACTATTTAACCACTTGTTTATTTTTATTTATTTTTTTTGTGGTTTTCTGATGTTCATCATT